GGCGGTGCCGGAGTAGGTGCCGATGTAGGTGTAGGAGCTGGAGCAAACGTGGGGGTAGGCGCGGGACTCGGAGGCAGTGGAGGGTTAGGGGGAGACGGGGGACTTGGTGGTGGGAGGGGAGTAGGTGGTGGCCACGGCGGTGCCGGGGGCGGTGCCGGTGTAGGTGCCAATGTAGGTGTAGGAGCTGGAGCAAACGTTGGGGTAGGCGCGGGACTCGGAGGCCATGGTGGTGTTGGGGGAGACGGGGGACTTGGTGGTGGTGATGGCCGTCACCCATATCTTCCTTAAGAATTCCAAATTAGTTTCAGCGACGACTAATACGGAGTGCTAAATTACAGTAGTTGGTTAGTTGTCTTCTTCTTTTCAAATTAGTAAAGGGGATTCCCCGCGCACCGAATGAATAAATGGTCTGTTTGGAAATAACATTATGGATTAGTATTAACGTTTTGGATAAAAATTTAACGGTGCAGATTACTTTGAAAATTCTAACGCTAAACACTGCCTGTAGATAGTCTTTTCAAAATGCTAACACTAATCTCTAACTCTATTCCGAAACAGGCCCAAACACAGTTAGGGTGGTTAAGTAGGGAGTATATTGTACAAATGTACTCGTAGTATTCTTAGGTCAATATTTTCATGCTTATCTTTTTCTCCTAGTTTCTAGTGTTGTAAAGGAGAATGTGTTCTAGTGGAATGATGAATTAGTTATCAGTCATTGCAGTTATTTTTGCAGTATTTATTATTTATGTACACACACATATATATGTATGTTAATGGTAAAATAAACTTATAGTGAAAATCAAAGGGAAATTTAATTTTCGGAGGAAAGAGAATATATCAGGCAAATACTGTAATAACTTGGGTACCCTCAAGTAGAGATGATCAAAATCATTAAAAAGACATCAGTTAACTATCAATAATCTCAATTTGGTTTCAATTAACCACTGACTAAATATACATATTATAAGTTTTGAAAAAAAAAATGAAGAGCGTTAACTAGTTTTAAGGACTGGTTAACAATAATGAATATTAATAATGTAAATATAAATAAATTAAAAACTTAGAATATATATGTTTCATTATAGTATATCAATGTTTTGCTCTAATACTACAAAACAATTGAATTTTGATGGACAGAGATATCTATGATGTCTCGTGAACTACATTATAAAGTTTGTGAGAATGTGTGATGATATGATTAATTTAATTTGATAAATATAAACAACATCTGCAACACTAACATGTGCATGCATGGAAGTAATCTTGCAGTTCTTTTGACGCGTTGCAAATTCACATTTTCACAAATTTGGTGCCATACTTTTTGTCTACTATTTAACTCTATTAGGGAGTAGAATATTCAATACACAGATCAATATGGATTCATACATATTTTCTTAACCTATTGAAGCACAAAGAGTCAATGTCTCAAATGGAGTTTGAATTTGTGACGAAGTGGTGCAAATTCCAAAAATGATGTCTGACAATGAAGCTTTTGTACATGCCAGAGACAAATCTCACTATTTATTTACTCCATCCATCCATTTTAAAGTGTCTATTTTGGTTTACGATACTTGACTGAAGTTACTTTCAATTTAGTTTATATGAGAATTGAGGTGGAATTAAAAAATAAAATTAACATATCTATAAATTACATCAAAAGTACTTCAAAACAAGTGGTGACACAACTATTTTTTAAATATCAAATGACTAACAAAAATTGACGAAGAAAGTAAAATTTGACCCTAAAAATGTAAACAGACTGTTTATTTTGGGAAGGAGAGAGTATTAGACAAAAATTATAAATTAATTTACTTCATCTCAAGTAATGTCCAGCCGGTATGGTTTTCATTTTTTTTCTACTCATCTTTGACCCAATGTTTAACACCAAACTACTCACAAGCATCACAAACACAGAAGTCTGTGAAGAGTAGTCTGTGAAGAGTGTGGTGTCAAACTTTGGATTAAAAACAGGTACTATAAGCATGACTCATTTTTTCAATAACTAGTAATATAACTCTCTTGAACATATTATCATCATTGGACATCCAAACCACAAAGTTTAAGAAAAATGTTAAAAACGTGCTAGGTGTACGATTGAAATTTATGAAGACTTTAGAAAAGTTTTATGAAACACGTGTTCTTTATAAAAATGTGACTTGTTTTGAACGGACAAAAAAAAAGAATGAAATAATTATTGTGAGGAAGATGGAGTAAAATTTAGCAAAAGTTTGTCCTACAAGCAATACCCACTTATGCGATGTCGTTCTTTCTTTTGCCAACGACACTCGGCACTGGCCATGAGCGAATGATGGCTATATTTTGGTGGAGCAAAGGATCGCAGGACACACGAAGCGTTCATCAGATGAGTTTGGAAGGATGAGTCCCCGCAAGTTTCGGGGAGAACTAAATTTTAAAAAGGTCATAGGGTTCAAGATGGCTGGGAAAGATGGCTTGGAACCTATTGGAAGGTTGGGATAAGCAACACTATCCGTATTTGGGAGGACCCCTGGTTGGGAGATAGAGACCCACTCCTCGGTAACTACTCAAAACTTGGGGAAGAATGATGTCCAAAGGGTCTCAGATTTTATCTCCAATGGTCAAAATATTTAACTGTTTTTTTATGTGGTGTTTAATTTTCATCTAGTTTAGGGTTGTTTGAGTTTAAAGATTAACACATGTTTTAACGTGTGAATTCCAAGTAAAATTCCACATAAAGCTTTCCTGTTGACGTCAACATTTCAAATAATTGGAGTAAATTATAGTTCTAACCTGAACTAAATTCCTCATTAAGCTCATTTCACTACATGCATGGAACCTATGAGTATCTGACGGTAACTAAATTATTACCGCAATTAGTAACTACCATGGACATACTACATCATATTGTAGTGGAAAAGGGGGGTTAGGAGAAAAAAACACTGCAATTAACAATGCATCTAAAAAGAAGTTTCCCCTTGCTAACCTGGTTTTCACCTTCTTCTCACCTGAGGCTGCTGGCCTTCAAAGGACGTAACCGTAAAGAACGCCGCAGAGACAGCTCACCACTATCTCCAACTGGACAAACAGCTTCCCTTCTTCTCATTCTCTTCTTCATACTTCCTTCTAGGTCCGCCTCCGCCCTCTTATGAGATTCATCTTTTTTGCAACAAATTTCATCTGAAATAGCAAAAATTAGCTATAAGGTCTTGATAAATTGTTTTAAAATATACACTGGGTTCTAAGGTGGAGGCGAGCGGTGACTGGATGGGGCATGCTAAAGGGGTAGGAATCGGGGTCGAATAGAGCACCGTATGACCATTAGATGGACCAGTGTCATTATGACACCGTCCTTTTGTGTCAAAAGAACTGTCCTCTAAAATATATTGTTAAAAAGTTAAAAGGAAATACTAGGTGATTACGCAAAGAGGCTTACAATAGTAGGTGAGTTTGTGGGAAGGGGTAGACTTGAGAAGAATTAGAAGGAAATGATTAGGCAAGACTTAAGACTTTTTGGCTCTTACTGAGAATATGACCTCAGATTTGAACGTCTGGAGATGGGTTGTTATTGTAAGATAAAAGGAAATAATACTCTAACGGGATTTTGCTGATAATTAGAAAAACGGGCAAGCCAAACATTCAGGCAACAAGACAACAACTACTACAAAGAAACTGCCCATTGGGGTACACAAGTACGTTTACCAGTTGTGTCTTCTTCATATATCTCTTGCTCTGGACATCCTGAACGAGTTTTACTAGTCACATCTCCACGTCGTTTGCTCGCCCTGAAATCCTGTTTTGTATTGTTTTCTTTAAGTACTGATCGAGTAGGTGTTTTCTCGGCATTGGCAGAACAGATATCATCAGAAGAATTGCATAAGTTTTCCTTTCCTTTTTCACTTGTGCAAATCACTTTGTGTCTTGACCCAATTTCCCTTATGGGAGAAGAACCAGAGATTGAGTCAACATTATATAACACCTGTTTAGGAGAACTGTTTGGTTTGAGATGCTTTGTTTGTATGAAATCTGAGAACCAGGGAGTGTCCTGTCTTGCATAGAAGAGAATGTATGCGGACTGAGACATAACAAAATCTTCTTGGACCCGAGTAACCTATAACAAATGACACAAACATTGAGTTCGATCACATTTATTATGAATATTATTTTTTTAAAAAATTAGGCTATGTATGGAACACAATCAGTGGTCAGTAAATGGGAGAAAATGGTATCGGAAGTGGTATGTTAATGTTTGGTTTGACTTTGGGAAATATGAAGGGAAAAGAAAATTGCATAAAAAATTTAATATTTTTGGACTTCTTAGTCTCTATGTGATAGAAATATGTTTTAAACAAACACAAAGTACATAAACTTGAATTATTGAGTATGGATGAATACTTTTATCCACTCTTGCAAATTCTTTTACTCCGCCATAACATTTTCTGAGTTCCAAATAGAACCTAAAGGTGTAATCTTTGGAAAGTGAGGAACCTTTGAGTCGTCAAACTTGTACCATTCATTGGGGGAAGAATGGATGAAGCAGTAGTAGTGCCCAGAATGCAATGTCAGCCCAATGTGCACCAAAACTGCCACTAGATTATATTTCGATTCCGCCTATAGACAGAAAATTAAAAAAACAATCAGATGCTATGATATATACTACTCTGTATTAAACTTCGTCTAAGGGGCTAGGTTTGCTTGGAACAAACATTCAAGTTAAGAACCAGTAGAATAAGAATGGACTTTTATCAACTCAGGGCTCAAAGATGGTTTATCTATTGAGACGACATATGAAAGATCAAAACTACAAATTTAGGACTTGTACGGTTCGTACTATCAATCTAAGATTAAAAATCACAAATTTTAGTTATTTAATATTCTTGCAAGTACTTTTAATAAATTCTATTTTGAATCTAAATTATACCCCGTCAGAGAAGTCCTGTTCAAAATTAACATAAAAATAATTACAAATAAAAAATTCAAGCAGTTTAGAATCTAAAGTCTTTCTAAGCCCATACAATTTACTGTTTCTATTTTGGTCTTAAATCTATAGTTTTGGTTATAGTAACGTATATACAGGTCCTAAATTCACTCTTTTCATCAATAAAACTCTATAAAGAATAAAAAAACATTTCAAATTTGCAATGTATGGAATAGAGTTTTTTGCGCCATTCACCCCAAACTTTTCATGTAGTGCATGTTTTCTCCCAAACTTTCAAAACTGCACCATTAGTCTCTATACTTTTCATAAAGTGCGTACTTTCCCCCCGAATATAAAATACATGTTTTCCCTCCGAACTTTCAAAAGTGTACTATAAGTCCATATACTTTCCAAAAATTGTGTGCTTTCTCCACGACTTTTTAAAAATGCACCATTAGTCATTAACTTTGAAATCATGCATGCTTGAAACCCTAAGAATTTCTCTTGATTGAACATCATTAACCAAACTTGAATAAATATAAAAAAAAATTGGAGGCGCGAGAAGACATTGACACAAGGAGTTCGCATTTATGTCCTCCAAGTTATTTTTTTCAAGTTTGGTTAAATATGCTATTCAAAACGAGAATGATTACAGTTTCAACCATGCACCATTTTTAAATATATAGGACTAATGATACAGTTTTGAAAGTTTGGGAAAAAGAGCGTGATTTATGAAAAGTAAAGCAACTAATGATGCACTTTTGAAAGTTCAAGAGAAAACATGCACTTTATAAAAAAATTCGGGGGTAAACCACACACTTTATGAAAAGTATAGGGACTAGTGGTGCACTTTTGAGAGTTCATACGGAAAACATGCACTTTAGGAAAAAAGTCCGGGGTAAATGACGCAAAAAACTCATATGGAATATATGAAGAAACTCACTCACATGTTTTTTGTCTCTTTTCACATAAGGAAGCAAATCCAATTCAAGCGGGAATGCGATGTGCTTGTCAATCTTCTCAACAAGAGAACCATCATTTTTGAATCTCTTCAAATGAAAGATGGCAACCAAAGGGGTCTCGTCCAACAAAAGCTGCTTCTCAAGGGACACATGTAACTTGCACTTTTCACATGTGAACTTTGCCGCAGTATCTTCAATCTTTTCAGTTTTCGTGAAAGAATCCAAAGCCATATGGAGGCTGTCTGCATCGCCTATCTCCAAGCTCAGGTCAACCAGTGGCTCATAAGTTATAGAGCAGTGGCCACAATTGAAACACTGCAACTGAAATTATAGAACTGTTTTACTTCTTGCTTCACATATAAGTTCCTACTCAATATAATCCCCCAACTGTATGATATCACTCAATACTCTATTAGGTCTTTAGCTTTATTTTGGATTAATATTGGTCCACGGTTATACATTGTAGATTCCATTTAGTCCTAGAACACATTTTACTCAAATTATGACGGCCATTTTCATCTGTTGAAGGCTAAATTAGGTCCAACTTGCATAGTCGATGACGCTAAATTTAGTGAATCCACAAAAATGAGATTCTTATTAAAACTAAATATGTATGAGAACTACAGAGCCAATGACCAAATTGAGTCCTAAAAACCGTCGAGGACAGAAACTTAGTAAGAGCATATAATCTAGAGGCTAAATCCAGTATTAAGTATTAGCAATCCAAAAAATATACACCCTAAAGTACAGAGTATAGTTTAGTCACACTTCACTTACTTTGCTAATGAGGTGACCCCCAAAAGTCTGTTTCACAAAATTTACATGATTTGAGTACACCTGGCCCTCCGGCTTTACATAGCTGCAAGATCTTTCAAGTCCATCCAGAAAACACAGTAGAAATTCATGAGAATCTTCCTGTTGATACCTCTGAAAACTAGATGAAAAATCTGGTTTTGATGACAAAGTTAAGGATCAATGTGGAACAACGTCCGTCATACAATGTGGATCGGGCATAACTAACTAACCAGGATGAACACACATATGGAAGATACCACAAGTCCGCAATAGTCGTGTTAGCCATTTTTACAGTACACCAATTCCAAAAATGAAGGTAAGCAGTATATTAAAAAAATATCAGCCTAATTATATAAAAAACATTAACTATAACCCAAAGTTAACGCTTAACACAGTGCTAAGAGAAGTGAATACGGAATTTTTATATCATCAAAGTACAAAAAAAAGGATATCCCATCCAAGACCCTAAGTTAACAAAAAAGACGGGAAACTGAATATTGAAAAGAATATAGACATGTAAGAAAATGCTTAAATGGATACAACTGAAATTGTTGACAGTTTTCCAGGGATTAACGATGCTACCCTTAGAAGACAGGGTGGCATTCGTAAGCTCTTTAAGATCACAGAGTACACAATACACTTCATTAAAAGCTGCAAATTGTGATTTCAGCATAATTAAGATCTATATATTTTCTAAACATAAACCGTAAACAACAGCAAATGAATACAATCCAAAACGGAAATTGAAGTTAGTAGATCCTACCGTCACATGGGGATGGATGACTATAAGCTTCAATACTCTGTAGTAATGGCACTATGTGCATGAGGCCTTGCAGCACAGCATTAAGAAAGCAAGTGTTGCCCAAATTCGCAAGCCCTCCACCATAAAAAAACAGTTTGGCAGTTCTACTAAATATTAGAACCTCATAGAATATGTTCTAAAATCCCAAGCAAGAAGCAAAATCTCAAGATGCAATAAAGCAACTACATACTCTCCCCCCGCCCTGAATGGGTTTATCATTCCTTGATGTCAAGGCGGATGTGTTAATCGTAAAGCACTATACCACTGGCGAATGTGCTTCATCATTCAAGAAAACGAAATTAAACTAAGAACATATATATTCTATGATTCTAGTAAATCTAACAACCTCTGAGAACATGTATCTATTCTATAATCCCAAGCAATATGAAAATTCTCGAAGTACACTAATGAAAATACAAACGGAGTATAAAATATACAGTAGTATAAAGCAATATACCACTGGAGAAGAAGCTTCATCATCCAAGAAACAGAAGTTAAAAGAAGTGTTATCTTCCAAACTTGAATGTTCAATCTCTTGCCCCGTCTCATCGGGATGCCACTCTGACCAGCCCAAACTCACCGGGTCAGCTTTACACTTCAGATCCAAACCCGAGGACCCAGAAATTGAGGGAGAGAAATGATGATCGCCATGCATCCACGTGTCCGTCCAATCAGGTTCGCCGCCGTTTGAATCAACACCGCCATAAAGTTTCGGCTCCGCCGTCTCGGTGCTCCACTGTTGGGACCAATGCGAAAAACTTCGAACCGGAGTTAATGAGTTGCGAGTCAAGTCATCGCCGGCACCCTCAGCATCACCCTCGCCGTTTCCGTGTCCCGGTGAGTTTTCAGTGGACGATCGGACCTGAGCAGAGATTCTGCCACGAACGCCGGTTCCATTTTTCCGGTAATCGGGAGAATTGAGTGATGAGGAGTTTGTTTCTGCGGTTTCTGAGGTTTCAGTTCCCATTGAAATTCTTGCGGGGAAATTTGGGAGAAAACTGTCTCCTCCTACTCCGTATGGGGTTATATAGTGAAAAATGTCCTGAGTATAAACAAAAGTACAAAACAAAAATATTACTCTCGTAATCCTTTTTTTAAAGGTGCTTTTCCACAAATAGTCTTTTTTTTTATCTTCTGTCATGTTGATATTAATTTAAAGGCTAAAAGTATAATTTCACATCAACATTATGTCTAGTGACGTGTTCTTATATTGGGTTAGCAGATAACACAAAAATAATGACTATGATTTTGGGTTACGATTTCGACGAAAGACCACATTTGTAGACTATGGTTGTAGTAGAAAGCAACTGTAATTCACAAACAAATAAAACGGAATAGCTTTTGGAATTGTGTATGACAAAAAAGATATATTATCATTGCGAAATTACACTTTTAGCCCTCAAATTAACACCAACATGATAGAAGATCAAAAAGGACTATTTGTGGAAAGATACTCATAAAAGAAGGACCACTGGTATAATATTTGATAATATAGGACTAAATAGAGAAACCCCCTGTTATTAAGGACCAATTATGGAATTTACTTATTGAAAAAATATCAGTTTTTTTACCAGCAAGTTTAACTGACTTTGAAAAATTTTTACTTTGCAGTTGATTAAACTTGCGGGGTGCAATTGACATGGGTTGGGGTAGGAAATATCAATTTTACGAACGGAGCACCATAAGTACCTGATTTGGAGTAATGACTTTCGTGGCCACTGAAAAGCAATGGCCATAGAACCGACCCGTTCCGAAGTTAAGAAAGATATGAGATAACGGACTTTTGGAGGATATTCCAAATCTTAAGATATCAAATCTAATATCCTTTTTTTATTTCACCAAACACATTTTTCAGAAAATTAATATCTTAGATATGAAGTTTTATATCTAAATTGGTTACCAAACAGGCTGAATGATTTCACATTTTATCAGCTTGCCAAAAATAATCACTTTTTTTTAGTAATCTTTATTTTTCTAATTGAAAAAGTTAATTAAATGTGTTGGAAAATCTTTTGTTTTATTTTTTGTTCAAGATAATCTCATCTTCAATCAAATTGTGTATTAGGACCTCACCTTTCACTTTCTTGTTCAAAGTTTTGTCTCAATTCAAATAAAGATATACCCGGAGTAATTTGTTTATTAATCAAGACAAATTTGTTCCAGATTGATAAGAAATTTTTTTAAAAATTAAATTTAGCATGGCACTTGAGAAGATCTAAATAGGGGTTTCATATCTTTATCTCCAAAATTGAATTTCACACTCTGATAATGTAACATTGTGTATGGACATTTCAGAATACTTTTTGTAATGTATATGGTAATTATTGACACTGTAAACGCATTTAAACTCATATTTCAAGATTAAAATTATGGAATTCTTATTTTGATATATTTTCAACATTTTATTTCTATTTTAGTCTTTTTTCCAAAACTATAAATAAAAGAAAATTCTTTCCCTTATTTCAATTTCAATTTTGAAAGAGGGGCAAGAGACGGTTTGGGTTGGTTGGAGAAAATTTATGAGAATATTATGGGGAGTAAGAATTATTTGCGCACGAAAATATTGCTAGAGTAATCTTAAAATAAATACTATCATTTAATTTCTAAAACTAATGAAATCAACAATGAGCATATAAGAATTAAGAAGTGACAAATGAATAAATTCCAATATTAAATATGAACTACAATAGCAAAACATTAAATTATAATTTAATTTCTTGACAAAAAATATGGCGGGAATCAACATTGAACATAATCCATGTCTAATAGGATGGGAAAAACCTATTAAGTTTAAATGGCAACTTGTAGAACTCATCACTTCTAACATCTCTTCCATATGCCACAAATTTTTGCCACCAATGCAAGCCGTTATCCTTACTGTCGTTGTTCGGCAACGTGCGGTCCAAAAATTCCGCCAGCACGACCGCAACAGTCGCGTGCGACGTGAAGACGACACATATTATGTCGTTGAACTGCACGCACATATCTTTGTTAGAAACAAAAACAATAAGGATTTATTTGATAAGTTTAGAATCTTATTAGCTACCAAAAAATGTACAAAGAATAAAGAGTGATATATGTGTGATTGGTACCCATTTGGCATGTGTGTGGACAGGGTATGAACCAGAAACCATTTGGTGCTCTTTGAAGTATTGAGGCAGTGATAGCCCCATGAACAAGGAGAATCCTAGTATGAACTTTGTTCTGAAGCTATTCAAGTTGCAAAACTGGAGGAATCCTAGACCAGCTGAAGCTGCAAATTAACAAAATCTTATAAGAAACTAGTCAACAAAAATGATTTCACACGTTACTTTAATCAGAGTAACGTGTGAAATCATTTTTGTATTAACAATAATTATGGAATGTTGAGTTAGATTAAAAAATCAAAATGTTATCACTTGATGGAAGTATTTTCTCCTATAAATCAAAATAGGGTTGGGTGTCAAAACAATTCAATGTAAAAATAATATGTAAAGAGGGAAATAGAAAAGAGTACATACAAACATATGCAAAGAAGACACAATACAAGGCCGCCATGACTGCCATAGGAATTGAGGCAAAAAATGCTCCAAATTTCCCTAGTAAAATTGAAGGACACAAACAACCTGTTAAGATATATAAAAACATACTTCCCCCGTCCCTGAGTATTTGTCCACTTTTGACTTTTTTCGGTCAAAATTGGAAAACTTTGACCTCAAATTAAATGAAAATGATATTAGATATTGATACAAAAAGAGTTTTATTAGATTTATTATATCAAATATTTTCAAAATATTATTTTATTTAATTAAAATACAATGTATATTTTATTTAATTATAGGTCAAATGTTGAAAACAGTTGACCAAAAAAAGTCAAAACTGGGAGGTAATAATGAAAAAAAACATCTTCAACTTGTACACTCAACCCACATTATTAGCACACAAAGAAAATGAAAACAATTGTATGTAACGTTACCTAGGATGGAAAAGAAAATCATGAACCCAGCAGATATCTGAGCAACTCTTCTGCTTCCAACTTTTGTTAATGCTAAAAGCCCAGCATTTTCTCTGCAAAACACCAAAACAAAAATTAAAAACATTTCTTGGTTTTTAATTAACTTTTGGTACATTGAAAAATGTTACGTTTGGAGTTAATGACATCTGCATTTATACACACTTTTTTAATGTACCAAACTAATCAATGGGATAAGAAAGAATTTATCAATTACGGTGTTGCACAAGGGCCAGTGAGTCCTCCAAAAATGCCACTGAGCATAGTCCCTACCCCCTGTAAAAGCAAAATACAAACTGAGCACGAGAGGTTCACATAATAACTATTTGTGTATGTCTGTGAAGAGCGTGAATAATGTAGAGTCAATTTAATGTAACTCTAGCATGTTCAGTTTTCAAAGCAACTTTGAAAATTGCTATTTGCACTATATAATAGAATATGTCACATATAGGAGATTTTTATAATTCAATCTTACAAGCCATCCGACGCCTCGGCTAACAATAGAAGGTGGCACTGGTGTGGCACTCCCATATCTCGACGTAGCGTAAAACACTGCGGTTGACTACAAAACAAATGGGCAATGCAACAAAATTCAAGTTCATGTTGACATTTCCATTAACACTAGAATTCTTTTGGCACCTCTTTTGGATATCATATAATGGCATCGTAGCTCTAATTTTTCACAAACTTCTGAAATGCTACATTATGATAGCGTAGCATTTCCGCTAAATTCTTGATACATTGTTGCAATTACTATCCAAAGTTTCAATAGAATTGAAGTACACCTCGATGGAGGAGACGAAGCATGACGATAGCATTGCGAAGACATCGCCAGCGTTAAAGGTGGGAGGTCCCCATTGAAATGGCAAAGGGATTTGAATCCTACAAAATAATTAAACAACACTACACATTATTTTGGCTTCTCGTAACTTTTCAATGTCTGTAAAAAAGGTTAAAGGGTAGAATAGTAACTGACCAAGAGGAACCAGACATGAGACCAGAGCCATCTACCCTGCAATTCTCTTGTGAATATGTTTTGTAAGGTCCACTGTATGTTAAAATGGCTGCATATGTCCACACAATGCTCACACAAAACAATACACCAAACCTATCCAATATTGGCCTTTTTAGTTTTAGCCATGTTGGTAGATACTGCACACACACACACACAAAATGTTAACATTTATTATACATTTAGTTCATATTCATAGGAGAAAAAAACAAAAATTTTAACCTGTGAGGCAAGCACAATTAAGAAGAGCTCCGGAACCCCCACAACGGCACACTTTGCCATCTAAACGCGTCGAAAAAATTAAAGAAAGAATAACGAGTTAATAAAATTTCAAATTGAACTAGACGATTCGAAAAAAAATTCAATCTTTTAGTACATAATCTAACATAAAGTGTCTTGTGATGTACTCCCTCCGTTCCATATTAACTGAAAAATACAACATTCCTAATACATTGAAAAATGAATGAACGTAGACATACCTCATGTCTACATTCATTCGTTATATTTTTTCAATGTATCAAGAAGTGTAACTTTTATTTAATAGGCCAAGTTAGAGTAAAGTAAAGAGTCTAACCAGTGGGAAGCCAAGATGGAATAGGCCAAGTCCAGTTAAAGTGATAAGTGGGACTACAGATAAAGGGCTTAGAAACCTACACTTCAAATTCAGGAGGCTTATATTAGAACAAAAATTTTAGCTCCAAAAGTTAAAGATTTAGAGAAATATATTATGGAATTAAAGGGTTTTTTTAAAAAAAAATAAAAAAGAGTACAAATGATGAAAGAAAATAAGGCAACCTTGTAGCATTTCTCCACAGCCCAATGAAACCAGTAATGACTTGAAAACAAGATGCCACAATGAGGGCTCCTTGAATGGCCCTCATACTGTGCTCAAACCTCTGACAGTTCAATATTAATTTGTAATATTAGAAATAATAATAATAATAATTGAATTAAAAATAATAATAGAGAAAATAAAAAAAAAGGAATGAAAGTTAATTAATTAGTACCATGTGAGGATCCACAATGTGCTGAAGTCTCCTAGTTTGGATAATTGAGGTAATTGGGATTAAGTAGGCATAAGAACCACCTATTATTGAAGGTAACCTCACTCCAAATAAGGATTGAAACAATGTGTTTAATCCTGATATAAAAAGTAATGTCTGCATCACCCTTGCCTCTTCTACCTGCATTTTTCAATTCTTTCCATGCATTATCAAATCTTGCACATTTTTTCAAAAAAAAAGGGGGGGAGCGCCGATTTCGCAATAACGATACATTTTAACTTTGGCATTCTGAAAAAATTATCTGATCAAAGATTTATTGTTTTGAACTTGTATATATCAATATCGCTGAAAAATGATCGAGAGTCGAAAACTAACAAAACCAAATGCTTAAGTTCTTTGTTAAGAAACTAACTCAATTAAACGTTCAATTTTGACTATTTGAGGCTCAAAAAAATATTTTACTCTAACTGCTTTTTAAGTGAGATTTTTTTACTCAAATCTTACATATCACGACAATTTTTATATCAGGGGTGACAGTAAAATTAAATTATGATAGGTAGAAGCATCATATTGTAAGATTCTTACTTTGCCACCACCCATTTGAGGCACAATTGTTTTGGGGATGAAGACAATGTTGCCTAGAGTTAAAAGGTAATGCTGGAAACCCAAACACAATGCCTCCGCTGGATTAAACAAACAACAAAACCTTTTTTTTTAAGTCCAAGAATCAATCAAATTATTAAAGAAAAAATTCATGCTAATACTTACCTAAATATTCTAAAATTACATACTCTCCCGTCCCAAAAAAAATTGTAACATGTTGCAAAACGAAGTAATATTTCAAGTTTTTTTAATTTATTTTATTTCAAAATGAGTATAAACCTAAAAAATAAAGTTTGTGTATTTAAAAATTAGTTCAAAAGTTTTGCAAAAAATGAGGTAACAAAAATATTTTATTTCACTCGTATAAAATAATCAAGGGGAAAAAATTAAAGCATGAATAAAACATTAAAAATATATCAAAATAAAAGTTCCAAATTTTTATTCTCAAAAATAGGAGTTAAAATGCATTTATAATGTCAATAATGATCCTATACATTACCAAAAAGTATTATGAAATGCCCTTTTACAGTGACACATTACCAAATTGTAAATTTCTATTTTGAAAAAATAAAAACATGGAGTTCTTATTTTGGTAACGTGTGTATGTTTTATTCTATATAAGATAAAACATACAAATAAATAAAAGTTCTCATAATTTTTAAATATCAAACTGTGATATTGTTTTTGGCAAGGAGCAAATATTTTTTTATTATCACGTAATAAAACCTGAATTTGTTTTTTTCCCAAAAAAAAGGAAAGAAAACGTACACCATGAGGGTGGACTATTGATGCAATATTGCACGCCGGAGAGCTGTTCTAATACAGCATGCGGCTGGGGCTTTTCCTCCGCCTTCTTAGCCTCCTCCGCCTTCTTATTATTATTATTATTGCCGCCGCCGCCACCTCCACCTCCATTGTTTCCGCCACCGCCTCCGCCGTTTCCGTTGCCGCCGTCTTCTGATGACATTTTGGAACGACGTAAAGAAAGCTCAAATGAGGAGAAATGGACTGTTTTGTTCAATTTGGAACAAGAATGTTTTAAACACTCACTAGGTGTTATTATAAAAACAAAAACCGTTACAAATTTCAAAATAAACTTATCGTATAGGTTAGTGGTTACAAAATCAAATATCATAAGTGCAGTAATAATTGTGGAGGAATGATGGAAACTATATATGTGAATTGAAGAGCATTCAATTTGTGAGTTCAAATACAAAGAGCTCTTAGCATTAAAAAATTTGAAAAATTGAAGAGGTCATGCACATTTTAATCTTTGAGTTTAGTCAAATTAGCCCAGATCACTAAAAAATATGAATAAGTTAGTTTTTTTATTGAAATATATCGATCTTAACAACGGAGTATAGAGACAGAAAGTCTTTTATTAATACATTATCTTTGTCCCCGTGATTGGATGACAAGTGTAAAAAGATAATAAAAAATAGATGAATGGTTAGAATATGATATCAAATATTGAAAAAAAAAATAATGTGACATTAAAAATGAATATTGTGGAAGGGAACAAATGATAATGATTAATGAGTAGGTGGTGCTCTCATATGTGGACGGGGCTTTGGAATTGTGACCCTAAATATATGCACCCACACGGATTGGGCTGAGTGCATTTGGTTCTGCTCCAATTCCTTATGTTATCCATATTTTGTTGTCTCATTTGTTGTTTTACACTTTCAAATTAACTTAATTATTACTCATTACTAAGGTTATAAATTTCATTTTACCTTTCTACCTACTTTTTATATTCTCTACTACTCCCTCCGTCCCGAAATATTCTTCACATTTGATTTTTTTCGGTCAAAGTTTGTAAACTTTGACTACAATTTATGGAAAATACACATTGTATTATGATGTAAATTTAATATCAATATATTCATAATGAAACATAGTTTTCAAATATCAAATTTTTATAAAATATATCTATGTATAAATATAGATATTAATGGTCAAAACGCAATATTGGAGACCGTGAAAAGTCAAAGGGGAAAAACATTTTCGGACGGAGGGAGTATCTAACTGTCAATTTTACTTCTTGAATTTTAATACTCGGTAATTGTTCTTTCACACTGCAGACTTACTGAGAATAATTATTTTCATTTTGGAAGTACGGAGTATTATTATTTGAGCAATAATATTATGGGTGTTGCTAAATCCACGCTGAAAATGATTATATCCACTCTTTTCACTTAAATTTTCTAAATTCACGCCAATGTTAAACGTATGCTTATGCGTGTGATGAATTTAGTAAATAGAGAAAAAAAGCGTGAATATATATTATCACTTTTGTGGTGGATTTAGCAACACCCTAATATTTTTCTAGCCTAAGTAATTAAATGTTGAGTCTTCTAATGGATACTTGAAATGTAGTCTGAAAACTTAATAAAAGATTTGTGAATTTGGTCATTAAATGTTGAGTAGTCTTCTAATGGATATTTGAAATGGAGTCTCAAAACTCAATAAAAGGGTTGTGAATTTGGGATTAAAACTCACATGCAACTACAAACAATTTTCGCTTGAAAAAGGAAAAAACAAAAGACGAAGGGTGCATGATACATATTAGGAAACATACATGCACGTTTTTTGAAAAAACAAATACAATGCTCCAAGAAATGCTTGTGGCCGGTGACCCCACCACGCAATTATTATATACACACACATTATATTGGCCCATCCATTTCACTCATTTAACAAGTACTATCACTACTACGTGGTATATCGTACCAATTTATTTTATGTCCACATATTTAGCTTCATTATTGTTGGGACAAGGCATGCCTTCATCAACTCCATTCTCGCATTAACATGATATATGGGCTTGTTTGGTAATAAAATTAGAAATTAGCGTTACGTTTTGCACAAAATTTTAACGGTGAAGATTACTTTGAAAACACTAACGCTGCCCGTCGATAGCTCGCTCAAAACGCTAACAATAATCTATAACGTTATTCGATTCCCAAACATGTTCATTGTTTGCTCTGAATCAAAGCTTGAGAATTTAATTACAGAGGGAGTAATTAAGTAGTTCAATAGAAAAACTATATGTATGAGATTTATATCCGAGTATTTAAAAAATTGATCAAATATTTTAGACAAATACCTTTGTGTTCTTAAAGTTCATACCCATTTATTAAAAAAATCTGGAGCCTTTTCTTAAAATTTAAAGAAGAAATCGATTAACCTATCACTCATTAAACATATATGTCAAAATGTCTATATTTTAAACGTGAATCTTAAGATTACAAAAGTGTAATTATTCAATATTTTATTGAGTAGTTTACTTAAATAGGACTAAAACATAATGACTTTCCCAATATAGGATCATATGTTTTTATTTTCCAATGTAAGACTTTTGGTCATTATGAATTAGTCATTATTTAAGTAAATGTCCATCATTACTGGACATTATTCCACCTACTAAGACATTAATAAGTTCTATTTAGGGAATAAAAAAGTTTAAGTCCTAGATTTAGAAAATCATTATGTTTTAATCCTATTTAGTGCAAATTTCACTATTTTAATTGGGCGATTGACCAAACGGTTTCTCTTTAATTTAAGCTACATACGTACATTAATTAATTTCGACCAATTGAAAGACAAAATTATTCGTGGTGGGTTCGAAAGGAAAAACAACACTAATAATAATTAATAAAATAATGGGGACAATGGGGTTAGTTAGTTCTTCAAAAAGATGTGACTTTTGGCCATCTGACATGAATGGTGGGCCTATATATTTTACGTTCGTGCCCCACAAAATGCAAAATTTTATTATTCGTTATGCAAAACTGATGAGTGGCAAAAATATAACCGGAGTATACTATCAACGTTTAGCATATTCCATATTGTTTGGACGTATAATTAAATTAATTAATACAGTGCATTCATTCACAGACTACAAGTGAAAACATATATTCAAATTGTTTGTATTGTAAGATGTGATAGATAAATGATTAAGTAGATATAATGTGTTGGGATTGCGCATGTCCTCACCCCAACCCCGCATTAATATGATATTGTCCACTCTAAGCCAAACCATCACAGATTTGTTTTTGGGCACCTCCCAAAAGGCCTCATACTAATTAAATTAGGTGAACCTATATATTTTGGTTCATTTACTCCTAAACTTCCGGTGTGGGACTTAGAGGAATCTCAACATAATTTGTGGGTAGTGTAAAAATAATTATTAGTGAGGATAAAAATACTTTTTTATTAATAAAATTGAGAAAGATATTTTGGACACGAAAAAAAGAAAAGAAAAAAACTTTTAGATTAGGGGAATAATATAATTCTAAAATATTTCATATGTATCTCTTACAGTTATTTCAAAGAATTAAACTAGCATTTCAACATTTTGGAAGAGAACATAGGGTTTGGATGCTCGATGTGGGAACTTGGGGGTATGAAACCAACAAAAAAGGTGGAACGACCATTCTGGGCCGGGTGCCATCACCTATAATAACCCGGCCGATAGTGAAGAGGTTAGTATGAGAATTTGGGGTATGAACCACTTCCGTTTCTAAACTCTAATAGAGTAATGTAATGTTTCCAAAAAAAACTAATGTCATCCTAAAGGTGGAACGTCTATTCCGAGCGCCCTCACACTCCGACCCGACAGAATTGTGATGTTAACTAATGTCATCCTAAGATTCACTTATATATGGTGTTTAACAAAAGTTTAAAAACAAAAAAAAAATGAGGGACCATGCATAACACCGTGTTTGGTTGCGTTTCGTTTTTCCACGTCACAGTCAGTGATGGTTTCATTTGGATTTTGGAATGCCGGCAGGTGTGAAGGCGAATGAATAGAAGCAACCAAACATATACTCCCTCCTTCCCCAAATAAAGTTCCATTTTTGATTTTTTGAGGATTTAAGAGAGAGATATTTTGGTGTTGACTTTCCAAAAATACTCTTGATGTGATGTATTAAAGTAAGATGTGATAGGTAGATTATTAGTAAAAAAGTATGATGTGATAGATATGGTATGAAAAAGTAAGGGGTAAAAGGAGTTTTTTAAGGTAAAGAGAAATTTGAAATTTATTTAGGGACAAAGAAAAAACGAAAGAAGAACTTTATTTAGGGACGGATGGAGTAGTACTCCGTATTTCCTCAATTGCATAACACGGACTACAACTAAAGAAATAATAACGTATTTCCTATCATAAGAAGAAAATATAACTATGTAAAAATAAATATATTAAGAGTCAAAATATTATTCCCTTCGTCTCTTAAAATTTTTCTCTTATTGACTTTTTGAAAATTTAACATAGATATTTTTGTGTTGATTTTGTAAAAATACTTTTGATGTGATGGGTAAAAGTATGAATTCTTATATAGATTATTGGTGAAAATGTATGATTTGATAGGGAAAGTAAAAATTAGTTTCAGTTAAATCTTTTTCCCATATAAATTTCCATAAAGTTGAAATGTAAATAATTGTAAATATTATTTATGAGAGGGCGTCAGTGGCGGATCCAGGATTTGGAGCGACTGGGGGCAAGAGTAGTACGTAGGTTCAAGGGTAGCGCCCCCGTTTTTTAAAGTGAAAGGACTAAAACATAAGTCATTTTCCAATGTAGGACTTAAACTTTTTTATTCTCTAAATAGGACTTAATAATGCCTAGTGAGAAAAAATAATGTCCAAGTGATGTTAGACATTTAGTTGAATAATGAGTAATAGATAATGACTAATGGTCCTAATTTGGGAAATAAAAACATATGCTGCTATATTGGAAAAGTCATTATGTTTTAATTCTATTTAGGTAAATTACCCAAGTACTCTCTATAATTTTACTTTCTCTTATAAATTTTATTTTCGAATTATCTTCTACGGAGTATTTAATATTATAGTTTAATTTTCATTTTGAAATTTTTTTATTTTTAGTTTAAATAATTTGTTCATTTCAAAAAAGTCTAAATAATTCATTTTTCTATTTGATCATTTTTTCATTGGAGGCAATATTAACTTTTAGGGAAATCTTAATTATTAATTCGATAAAAACAAAATTTAATCAGGGGCAAGTGCCCCCATTAGGTGTAGAGTGGATCCGCTCCTGGAGGGCGCTAATAAAATACTTTTTCCGTCCCAAAATGAA